GCTACCTCACCTTGAGCCTTGAGGTGTATTTGAGGTACCCCACATTCTAAATATACAGGAACTTTAAGACCACGAGAAGGCAAACCTCCGGGTCCCTGTCTTATGTTCCTGCCACTTGCCCTACCATCCCATCACAGCCGCCTTTACCTCACCTGTGAAAGACAAGATGGAAGGACTAGCCATGGCTTTAGGTAAAGGGGAGGCCCCAAAGCCAAAATCCTAAACCGCAATCCCAAAACCCAACCCGAACCTGAAAACGCAAAGCCTGATTCCCAAATCTAACATTCTTTAATCAGTCCTCAAAACTTAAATTAAACCCGATGCCCAACTCCCTGGTTGAAATTCCGAAGCCAAAAACCCTCCCCTGATCACTATGGTGGGCCTGGCGCATTCGATCCACCATTTGCACGACGGTAAGCCGCTTTCTGCAGATGGAAAACCTGAGGTCTAGGGTCTCAGGGTTAGTGGTCAGGGTTTAGGGATGAGGTTTGAGGGGTTTCAAACAGGAAGATTTCACCGTCTAGGGTTCTCCGACATGGAACTCTCGTTGCAGACAAGATTTTTGTTTTGACAAAATCCGATTGCCAGCGCATCCATGGTGACTTACAGTCTTGCGCAGCTTCAGCTAAAGCATTTCAACTGGTAAAACGCATGTTTTCCGTAACCCTCATGCAAAAACACCGTATTCATGTTCGAGAGCGTCGGATTACCAGTGCATCCATGCCCAAACCACAATAACGTTCAGCATCCCATTACCAAGGCATCCATGCCCAAACTGTAAAAACGTTCACATTCGAGAACATCCCATGACATATTCAAGCATTCATGCCCAAACCAGAATAACGTTCGCGTTCCAAGTGCATCTGTGTAACAAAAAAACACCCAGAGGGACGAACTCTATGTCCCATACTGACTTCGCGCGCCAACAACAAAATTAGCTGACTCACAGGGTTTCGCAGCTTCGGCAGCAGCCATTATAACTTGTAAAACGCAGTATTTCGAGTATCCTGATGCAGAAACCCCGCGCAATGAATGTCATATGCAGCCATGTCAAGATGGAAAGCTAAACGCGGCGGGCTTTTGCAAATTTCGGGATTCTTCGAACCCATTCCAGGGTCATCTTGCACCCAGCACATCGCGGATTTATCTACCTACAACAACCTTGCCGTAAGAACTCCTGGGCACAAAAATCTCCTGTAAATGACATTGTATTCCGCTTCTCTTCCCATTCTCATATTCCTTGGCAGCATTTGGTGTCGGAGAACCCTAGCTGGAGAGAGTTCTTCAGGGTTTGTAAGGAATAGTGTTGATGGCGCAGGGTCTAGGGGTTAGCGTGTAGGTCTTCACGTTCAGCGAAGAGCGCGTGAGTTGATGTTTGGGTTTGGGGCTCGCGCTTAAGGCGCAAGGACCCGCAAGCTTGGTTCCTTCTTAGGAACGGAACAAACTGGTTCCTTAAAAGAGGATCTGCCTTGTATACGATTTGTTGCACAAATTGTGGTGTAAGAACCTCCGCATTTCAGGGAATAATTTGAGCTTCCTCGTGGGCCTCGTTTCGGAAACTAGCAGCAACGTTTTATCTTACATATTTGGCTGGATCAGAGACCATACTTGACGAAAAGACATTTCATTGAGCCCTGATGAGTTGATGGGCTGTGAAGCTCGTTGGTATAATCGCAGCTCCTTCTAGGGCTCCAATGAGAAGGTCCACCAACCTTACGCATGACTTGTCGGAGGTTTTGGAACTATCAGGCTTGTAGGGGGTGTCTTGGGGATATCTGACATCTTGGTATTGACCTTTTCTGTGGTAGCCAGCCGTCCTCATGGGGACTGCCTCATAAAAATGGAAGGAATCTATTCGGCATCCACTACACCCTGTCCCACAGCCTGTGTACAGCTCACAACACCAGCGCACGAAGTTCCCTGTGGTAAATAACGCAAATTTTTTTGGACCAATGAGGATCTTCAAGCTGCCGCAATTCCTAAGCTGTAGGGTGTAAGAACTTCTCCATGCACGCTGCCTAAACCATGTTCAGATCTTGTTGCAGGAGGCCTCGTGAAATTGCTCCCGGACCCGCTCCCAATCGGTTCGGCGGACTGCGCACTGGTAGTACACCTCAGTGTCCAACTCTGGCCACAAAGCACAGAGCAAGGCAACAGCATCTGACGTATGCTCCCATCCTACCACATCAGGGTGCAGGGCACAGCAGTGTGGAGGTTAGGGTTTCGTGGTTCTTGGTATTCCGGACTCCGTAGGAGCTATACTCCTGCTTCAGCGAGCAGCATACAGCAGCTTCGGGGCATGTACTGTGGGCTTTTCCGTTGTTGTATTTGAGCGACCTCGGTTTCGACCTCGTCTTGACATGAAGGAGATGACGGGCTTCGGGGTGCCGAAGCTAAAGCCCCTAAACCCTAAACCCTAACCCCTAAACCCTAAACCTGAGTCGTTATCCTGGTGGAATGTCATTGGACTGACCTTTCTCAGGCTACATGAGCGGCCCATTCCTCATCCTGCGACTACTCATAACCCCCTATGCCTTCGCCACAATAGCAAAACTGCCTAGCCGCGTGGCAATTATGTAATGGTCAATGGTACCACATTGGGAAATTTTATTGGTACTGGATTGCTTGGTTCAGCACGTAAGGCAGAACTGAAATGCTGGCATGCCGAAGTCGTTGACCAGCTCCCACAGCAATCAAACTGCAGATCTCCAGCCGGATGGTGGTAAGAATGCTGTAAACGTATTGTGGTAGGGAGCCCTTGCGTTGATGTTCAAAGCAACCCTCTACACAGTGGAGACTTACCACCTGGAAAGCTTTGCGCGATTATTGAAAAACAACCATGGCCCTCAGTTGGAGAGCTGGGGATAGCGTTTGGGCCCGGATTCCTTTGTGAAGTGGTAACCCCATTATAACCCCAATATAACCCCATTATAACCCTAATGGTTGTGACCGGGAGGAGTGGCTCAAGATCGGCTGAGACGTGCGCATGTGAGACGGTTTTTTTCCGCTAGTCGAGGCCCCAAGCAAGACAAACTCTTACATCCTCTTCTGAGATCCTTCAACCCCTGTGCTTCTACCCTACACCCCTGGGTTGGCCCCTAAAGCCCTTTGAAAAATATTAGTATATAGGGTCCCTTATTAAAGCCATTAGGGAAAATATTAAATATCCCAGAAACCCACCCAGACCCTAAACCCCTAAACCGTTCTGCCAAGTGGCCAGAGGCCGGCCATCCATTTCGCTGTACGTTGCGAGCTTGTGGCCCATGCAGGCCATGAAGTCCCGGAGGTACTGTGCAAGGTTGAACTTCTGCTTCCCCAATCCTGAACAACATGGATGTTTCCCAAATTATGAGTACAGCTTGGGGGCCCCTAGAAAAAGGATATTGGGGTGCTGAGATCTTGGGAAACTACCACATGATAGGGCAAGTCAAGCAGTTCAGGCTTTGTTCTTGGGGGTATAGTCCCCCTTAAGTAGATAGAATATGGCTTTGGGTATATTATAAAAAGATCCCCATATACCCCATATTTTTCTACTTAAGGGGGACTATAAGGGAGAAGGTTTGAAGTGCAGGCAGCAGCACCTCTGACACGCTCGCTTGTAGCAGTCGCGGCGTGCGTAGACTGTACGGCACTCCCATACATGGGGATCACATCCTAAACCCTAAACTAGGGACGCTATCCGCTATCATCGTGATTTCTGGGGATTGTCTGAAGGACTTTCAGGCCTCTCGCCGCGTCAGCACAATGCTGAAACCGATTGAAGCCTTGTTCCCCTACCCTGGTCCCTATGTAGCTTCTACAGGAACCCAAAGAAACCCAAGTCCTAAGAGCCAAGTCTTGAATGCCTGACCCTAAACCTGAAATTCTAAATCTAAAGGATCCACGCATACCGATGATGCCTACATTGGGCCCCTAAAGTCTGTAAATAATCGCTCAAGTGGGCTTTTTTGATCCCCAGGGTAATGTTACGAACACACTGCACGCCCAAGGTTAGATATTCCCATTGTTAACCCCAAGCCCTAGAGTATACGATCTGGGCTTTTGGGATCCGTCGGGTGAATTATAATGGTTTCTACTGTCTTTTCGATTAACCCTATATGAATATATACATACCCTATTATAATCCCTATATATATACCCTATTATACTATAGTCCCTATTGTAGTCCCTATAAATTTCCTTTTATACTATAGTAGTTTCCATGTTATTGTCAATTCCCAGACCACTGGGAGGATCTAAAAATTAGATCCGCTATATAAACCCGTTATAACCCCTATATAATCCTTATATGATTTCCCATAGGGTTCTAGGGGATCTAATTTTCAGATCCTCCCAGGGGTCTGGGTTATCCCTATTCCGCCTTCAAAGCGGCACCACTTCGAGAAGCCTGAAGCCTCGCCGGCCTCGCAAGATTTCCCCCACTCAGAGCGTTTAGGGGTTTACGGGTGTAGGGTTTAGGGGTTTAGGGATTTAGGGGTTTAGGGGTTTAGGGTTTAGGGGTTTAGGGGTTTAGGGTTTAGGGGCTGGAGGATCTCTTGACTCAGTAAGTCTACTTTAGGAGGACACCCCACCCTTGGTATAATAGGAATATGAGAGGACCCTAATATGATCCTTATTATCCCTTATAGTCACTATTACTAGGTGGGGGGTCCACCTAAAGTCTACTTAGTAACTGGGGTTATGGGGCTTATAACTGGGGTTATTCGGGATAGTAGACCCTCAACCCTCGACACTAATCCCTAAACCCTACATGGCAGACTTGCAAAGTCAGAAGATCATCCAAGAGTTGGGTTTGGGGTTTAAGGTTGCTGTCAAGCCGCAAAAAATCAGCAATTTGAGAGGGCATCCCCCAAAATGCTGTTGGGAGCATAGTTAGAACTGGCTTGAAGAAAGACCATGCAAGTGCGGTGGGAACCAAAGATAGCTTGCATAAATTATCTAGATTCAGAACTTAATGCACGTACCAGAAGGCAAAGATGGCATGGCCTGGATGGCAATCACTGTCGGATCCTTGACGCAATCCTGGGCCAATCTGAAACACATCTCGAAGAGCATCAGTCAAGACTGGGCTCGGTGAACCACATCCATGATGCTTGCTTTCGGGCCTTTGCCCTCAGTACACATTCTGACTTTGTCAGCATGATCCTTGCACAGCAGTCATGCCCGTCAAGTGTCAGGGTTCAGGGCTATGCCTTTCAAATCACATCCGCATACTCATCACCCAATCAACCATGGAATCTGCAGTAACCCCTATAATACTCCCCTATATAACCCCCTTCAAGGAGCTTAGATAATACCATTGCTTCAAGGTTCAGGGGACTTAGCAACTACTTATAACCCCACATATGATTGGGTACAATGTATAAATCCATTTCGAGAGATGATAAAAGGGGTTATAAGCCCAGTTGGAAGTAGTCACAAGTCCCATGAATCTTCAAATATGGCTCTTTTGCAGGGTGGAGGGGTGGGCGTTGAGCGTTGTTTATACAATCCCTCAAGCCTCTAAACTCTAAACCCTAAACCCCCAAACCCTAAACCCTAAAACCCAATAAATCCCAAAACCTTGAAACCCCTACAATCCCTAAATCCCTAAACCCTAACATTATCCCTACATGATCCCAATATAACCCCAATGGAACCCTGCAATTGCTATAGTAGTTTCCTAAAAGTCAAGGGGCGCCGTTCGCGCAGTTGGCGGGAAGGAGAGGCGGCCCCCTCTTGGTGCACGAGACGGCAAGGACCTGGGACTGTTCTGGGGCTTAGTAGGGAATAAGGGAATATAAGGGTTTAGGGCTTAGGGTTAGTAGGGAATCTGGGAATATTGGGGGTAATGGAAAGAAGATGGAAACTACTGCAGTATCATTTTGGGTTAGAGTAAGGAATATGGCAATACCATCCCTGTATAATTCCCTTTAATATATTCCCGTATAACCTACTAACCTCCAGTAAGAGGAGCATCTATGTTTGTAATGCCTCTATTTGTGCCCTTAAGGATCACAAGAATGCTCAGGATAATCTCTGATTGAGGAACCTGGACAGATCAACTCGAATCCTCAGTAGTACTTAACTTAACACTCTCCTCTCAGCAGTGCACGTGATCTTGTATGTTGCGTTCCGTACTTTACGGAACGGTGAACGGCGATAGGTTGTGTGTAGAACTGCTTCCCTGAACAAAGCACACGCCCCCACGCCCGATTTCAAGAAGCAAGGGAGATTGTACACGCTAGGGAAGTTACATTGTTTTCGATCGGCCTCCCCAGAAAGCCCAATATAGTTGACTCCATCCCCAAGTACGCTTTAGGGTTTGGGGTCTATGGGGCCTGCCAAGAGCCGACACTTTTTTGGACCTTATATACCCCTTTGCAGGAATGTAACCGTATATGACCCGCATGTCGTCCTGTATAAAACCTGTAAACCCTTTAATGGAACCTACATGATTGCCTGACAGGTTGCAATGTAGTGCTGCGCATCGAGCTCTCGAAGCTCAGCAATGCCTCTCACATCTTGGGTGCTCTCCTAACGACTAAACCCTTAACCCTAATCCCTAAACCCTAGTTCCTAAACCCTACTTCCTAAAACCTGAACCCTAAATCCTAAACCCTAAACTCTCTACCCCCCAAGGTTGCCCCTGTTTCAGCCTTAATGCACACTAGCCTGATGAAGGTACAGCCTTGAGGGAGGTAGTGTAGAAGGGGATAGTGGGGGAACCCACGCATGTTGCATGGAGTTTGGGCCACAAAAGCTTTCCAAACTCCTGCTGCTATTACTATCTAAAGAGCCCCTAAACGGATCGATTGCCCCCTTCATAAAGATTAACCCTAAACCTAAACCCTAAGTCCCCCAGAGCTTCGGCGTGGCGTGTCTTCATAACTAAACCCTAGTCTAACCCCCGACCTAAGCCCCAATCCCGAAACCCTGAACCTACCCAGCCCCTGCACCCTGAATGCTAAAGCGTGTGAACTCGTCTCTCCTGGTCGATTCAACAGCCACTTGATGCACTTCTCCCCCAAGTGAGCCAGGCGTAAGATGTGAGGCCAAGCCCAAGCAGCTATCTTCCACCTTAGACTTGGGGCATTCTGGTTCCTCAGCAGGATACTACTAACAAATCTCAAGTTTCTGTTCCTCTTTGGGATTTAATGTGCAATAAAACTTGCAAACATGGTCAGCAATGGCCCAGGTTTAGGGTTTACATACAGTCAGTGTACGAAGCTATTCTTATGGGCGCATAGTCTTGTAGGCTTAGACTAGAGCTCAGAATGTTGACAATTCCAGTTTGGGATAGAATTCAGTGGGCACTACTTGCCCAGCCGCCGAGGCTGAGGAAAAAGGAACATGGCGGTCACGGAGAAGATGCCCGCAGTCTCTGTGGGGCGGGTCACGAACAAGCCCTCAGTTGCGCCGTCGCAGCCATTCTCCTGGCCATCCACTCGTCCTGATTCTCGGTGATCAGATGCAATACATCCAATCTTCTGAATATTACAGCATCACTTCACAAAAGCGTCGTCGAAATATCTTTAAATTCAAACAACCCCAAGCCCTAAATAGCATGGCGGTTTCCATTTTCTTTTCCATTGCTGATAATTAATTAGGTACAGCCCAGCATCCAGCATAAACGCAGTCACCCGGCTCCGGAAAGTCCCGTCTCAGCTTGTGGTGCGCCAGAGTGGGCGCTTCCGTGCAGAAGAAGGAGTTCCTGGGTGGTTCCCCAGAAGCCCGTTAATGATGAGGGTACCCTTTTTCCTGATGTCCCGGGTACTATACTGAGCTGGATTATGGTTCATGGGCTTTTACAAAGGGTTGCAGCTGAAGGTGTGCTTGCAACTTGTAAGAAAAAGGGAAACAAAATCCCTGCACCATGCTGTCTTGGTGAACTTCCAATTGACCCAGGCACCCTGATGTTCCACCAAACAGAAGGCAGCAGAGCTTCAGCAATCCTTGGCAGACATGATCTGGAGTCTCGCCACCGCACCGCTGGAGATTTATTCGTGGTCGGGCGGATTCTCTAGTCTTTAAAAGACCCCATGTGTCCTGCAGCTTACAAATGTGTTAGGTGATTGCCATATACCCCACTGCATTGACCATCCCGGCAAGCTCCTCAAATGGCATCTCACACTCCAAAGTGAAGTTTCCCACCCAAGCTTAGAGAATAGAGGTTCACGAGACTTAGTAGTAGCTGCCTATACCTGGGCTTATAAACCTACTTAAAAAGCCTAAACCCTAAACTTCTGATCCCCCTAACTGGACTTCTGCAACTTGCCCCAACTACACGACGTGCTGTGTACGGCGGACATCTTGCACCCCTGAAGTACTGCAAATCACAATGCATATCACAATTGTTGGGGCTATATGGCAGTGCAAGATTCCCTCCATACCCTATAGGGGTTGAGCTACCAAAAATATCAGTTTTAATAATTCCTTGGTGCTGTTGTAGTACAAGACTATAAAAATATATGTACATATATATATAGATGTACATAATATGTATATATGTATATACAAACTGGGGGATAGGAGTACAAGTAGGGGGGGGGTACTTTCAAGTAGGCTGGCTTAGGTTCAGGCCTCGGACTTGAATTTTGGATAGCTACGGTGAGGGATTTTGTACAATGATGATATTGGGGTAGTGGAAAAGAACATGGAGACTACTGCATTATTTGCAGATTAGGGTTTACGGGTATTACCCAAAATAGTGGAGAATCAAATCGAAAACAAAATTTGAAACAAAAGGGGGACTGGGGTAAGCTACGTAATGGTTTGTAGGGTTGAAAGTACCTCCAAAAACACGTTCTTGTGAAGGCATCACTTGACGACGCTGACATTAATTCTTCTTGTTGCGTTTTGGCTGGATGGTGTGGACTAGCTTGCAGTTCCGCTTGCTCCATCTAGCTGGACTATGTGGGTAGGAGTCAGCTGGCAGGTATCATTGCACACGCTCATGCTCCAGTACTGCTATCACTTCCACTACCACTACCAGGGGCCCTATTACTACCACTGCCACCCCTACTAGTACTAAGTACTAGGAACCTTGTGCTGCAACCACAACAAGGACCTCTGCCGCTACAAGTGTTGACTGGCATTGCCATATCCAGTGGAATTATGCGAACCTTGTAGCTTCCGTGGCAGGACTTGTGATCCTCATGGAAAATGATCTCTGCAATGCTACACATGCGAGCTTTTGTGCAACATCGGTAAGTACCATGGCTATAGAACAGGAGCCACTTTACGTCCAGGAAACTTTACACACAGTAGCCATTGTTTGGCAACCACAATCGCCATCTCACAGCACGGTGACGTTCCAACTCCATTTTGTGACAGGGGCGGTGCTTCAGGTAGCAGAGCACATCTACCCACCTGGCAACTCAAACCAATTGCAATCCAAAATGACGAGGCGCCAAACTGATGCCATCGTTGAAATACCTCGGCTGATCATTGTAGCCCTTGGGAAGATTCTGGTTGCAATTGCTTTGCGCCAGAAGACGAAGAACATGTGTTGGGGAAGCACATGGATCCTTCTCAAAAAAAAATCTGCACCAGTCACTGCAGCCTGGGTATCCCATGTATGGCAAACCCTAAACCCTAAACCCTAAACTACAGAAAAAATAGAAGCATGCCTCATGGAGCTGATTGCGGAAAAATCTCATTGCAGGGTTTTGTGGGAAAGGGGGACTCTCATCTTCAGAAACATCCAATGGAATTCATGTGAAACGTGTTTCAAAAACTTGCCAGGATACACCCTCACCCGGCGAAAGATTCTCCACCAGGTCGAAGCTGTGGCCATCTACTGGCGACACCCTGGTTTGGGTGCATTTCAAACGACAATGTTTGCTACTGAGGAGAACCGCATGGAGTTTCATAGAAAGTCTAAGATCTCTATCTCCTACCTCACACCCGAAAGCCCTAAACCGTAACGGTAAACCTAAACCCAACTCTACGCCCTACACCCCTCAAGAATACTGGGGTCTGCTTGAATTTGAGGATTCAGAGGAAGCTGTATGCGCAAAAGAGCGCTGCAAGGAGAACAGACCCAGCACGACCTAAGAACTGTGACAACATATGCTGAGCGATGAGCGTGTCGGACTGCCACTGTTTTCTTTTAGTCAGGAAAAACAACTGCGGACCAGCAGTCTACTCTGGGGGACCCTGGAGTTAGGTAACTACTAGTATAACCGACTGTAACCCATTATACGTAGGTTCCCTAACCCATTAGTACCTCCAGGGTCCCTCAAACCACTGATGACAGGCCATCATTGCATTTGGACTGCAGGCTTACCATCCTCCTACATGAGCCATAGTCTAAA